GGCAGCCCCCCAACCGCCCGGAGCAGGGCAAGAACCCCCCAGCTGGGGGAAGCCGCCCCAGGGAGCTGGGACGGGGCTCCTGCCCGGGAGCGGGGGTCCCTGGGCGCCCACCCGAGAAGGTTATTTGCCGAATTAATGCATGTTGCAGAACTGCCTGTATGAGCGGAGAAAGGGTGGTTTAAGGAGTTCCCTCAGCGTTTTTTGAGAGCAGTCCAGGCCTGGCTACGCTAAGAACCCCCCAGCTGGGGGAAGCCGCCCCAGGGAGCTGGGACGGGGCTCCTGCCCGGGAGCGGGGGTCCCTGGGCGCCCACCCGAGAAGGTTATTTGCCGAATTAATGCATGTTGCAGAACTGCCTGTATGAGCGGAGAAAGGGTGGTTTAAGGAGTTCCCTCAGCGTTTTTTGAGAGCAGTCCAGGCCTGGCTACGCTGTCCCTTTAGGAAGGGCCTCTTCACTTTATTATGAGCAAGCATATTTGCAGCGGCTCCAGCTGGTTATCGGTAATCTCCTGCATAGTCATAGGTGCAGGGGGGATATTAAATTCTTGAAGCTTTCTGGCAGTATCATGATCTGACTTGAAGCTGCCGTGTCTTTGGAAATGAGATTGGGCACGACTACGCTCTCCAGCTGTCTCCGTGCCAGAAAAGGGATCATGCTGCAGGTTTCTGAGGGTATTTCAATATGCTGAAACATTTCTTTACCCTAATTCTTCAGCACGGGAGATCTAAGCAAACGATTTTTCTGTCCTATGAATAACTATACTTGCAGGATAAGCTAGCTGGAAAAGTCAAAGGGAACCTAATGAAACTCTGCAGCATGAGGCAACATGAAACACCGGGATAATGGGTTCAGCACTGGGTCTTCTTCCAAAACCTGAGGATCTTCAGCGGAGCAGAAAGAACATCCTGAAGCACTGCTGTTGGAGGAGGATGTTTCTGAATCATCTGTAACATTTCCAGCAGCGTGGGGATTTCTCTCGGGAATTCCCATCCATGTAGGATTGCCAGCGTTGCTCAAAAAGTGTTCAGCGTGTCCTGGGGTTAATTTATCCTCAGGGCCATCTCTGCAGACAGAGCTCTGCTGTTGTTACAGCTTCCCTCTCCAACCAGAGCTACTGAGGGAGGAGGAGGAGGATGAAGTCGCTTTTCCTCCTTGTTAATGATGTGTCTGCTTTAACGGTGAAATCCCCGGCCCCTGGGAGCAGGGGCTGTGCGTGGGTATCAAAGCTCAGCTTTTGCTGCTCAGCTATCCTGCAGCAGGATCTAAGCAAAATCATATTTAAGAAAACTAGAAGCTTTTGCAGGTAAAAACACAAGTGAGGGAATCAGGTCTCTCTTCCCTCTGACCAAACTACTTTTACTCAGCTATTTGGAGTAATTTTCGTGATGTTTAGGTCGTGTTACACAGGAAGGAAATAAGGCTGTCGTTTGAATATTAAGTAGATCTGAGAGATAAGGAGGCGTTTACCCTTTCAGAGGGCCAAACTAATAGGAAAGACATTTTAAAATTATTCTGAAGTAAGCGATTTGAAGAGTTCGGTAGCTGATCATTTGCAGTACAGCTTAATAAAGTCTCAATATACCTCCTCCAAAAGGCAGAGTAAATACACTAAATAACAAATTTGAAGAAAACCAGTCTGATTTTTTTCTGCCCACGTGGTGCCTTTCATTAGGTTCACACAGTCTGTGCATGATCTGTTTCACAGATAGCCAGATGTGAGCAGTGGAACTAAAAAACAAAGACCAAAAACTTTGGAAATTGTAACCTCCAAAGGAATTTTATAACTTTTGAATCCCATCTGACACCCAATCCAAAACCTACTGAAGTCAATAGAGAGATTCCCATTTACTTCACTGAGCTCTGGACCAAGTTCTCTGCAGAAATCTGTTCTTCTTCTCACGGTGCTAAACTAAAGGCTGTCGAATATAGAGGATCTGAATTCAAAGCGTTTTCTAGCGTTTTGATCTGACTACTTCAGAGACCTTCAAAGAAGCGTCTTAGTGTATGAGGCATTGCAAACTTGTTTCTGAAAAGCCATGTTTGGGTGTTTGCTAAGGATTATATCTAATGGGAGGGATGCTCAGACAAGGCGTGTGGCTCAAGAGATGGAGCTGTGCCCTGGCACCCCGCAGCTGAGCTTGTGCTTTGTGAGCACCAGGGTGAATTTTGCACAAGGAACCAGCTCGCTGGAGATGCTCAGTGAGGGGAATAAGGGTTTGCGATATGGTTTGTGCTGCTCGAGTGCACCTCAGTCAGCTTACAAGCAAACAGACAGAGATATCCACGAGTCAGAGCATGTCTGAGCAGGCACTTCCAAGCCAGATGAACCAAGGATCAGGTTTACAAAGCTGTGGAGATGAGCAAAAGGCAGATGCCTTGCAGGGAGGTCGACACCTAACCTTCATAGGTGCTTCTCCAAGTCTGGCAGGGGCCCGCTCGGCAGCTTTACACCCCGGTTCGTGTAAGTCTGAATTTGCGCTGTACTGTCCCGGGGAGTTACCACCGCAGGGCAGTCATCATTTAAGCTGCCGTCTGACCAAAGGCCCCAGGTTACGGACGTTGTGCCACCACCGCCCAAGTCCCTGTCACGGTCCTGTGCTGATTATGAGAGCTCGAGGTTTCCCCTTTCCCATCACATTGGTTACGACTGTCGGAGAACGGTGACTCAGCGAGCAGGGCCGGCGTTAGTGACGTGGCGTAGAGGAAGAGGGACGCAAACCGCCGGCAGAGCTGTGTGATGGTGGTGAGCCGACCGTCGGGATCTCAGGCCTGGGTGCGGGTACGGGAAGGAGCTGGTTTGGCACCAGACCCAGCGCTCGCGCCGGGGGCTGCCGCTCTCGGAGCAGCAGCGCGTTCGCTGCGTTGGTGCAACTCGTAGCTGCTCTGAGGGCTTGCCTACATGGGAAAATTCACCGGCGTAATTATCCCACTGTAATTATCCCAGGATAACTCTCCCTGTGGATGTGCTTATTGTAACATAAGATATGTATGAATACATGATAAATCTTCTGCATAGATGGGTTTTAAGTTACACGGAGGAGGACTGTTTACGTTGCAGCCCAGCAGCAAAGCACAGCTTTTGTTCTGCTTCCCAGCAAATGTTACACCCAGAATTTTCTACGCCAGAGGAACTTTCAGGGGGAAACACATGTCATTTGATCTGATCAGCATGAATGTAAAGCCTCACTCTTGGTCTATGGCATGGGGCACATCATTTCTTTTACCGAGTCGCTGTGGGAGCCAGGGTAAAGGTTGGGGCACTGCCTCATACCTCTCTGTGGTCCTGTTCAGCTGTTTTTAATAGTGCAGGCATTTGAAGATGTTCTTCGTTTGACCTTTCTGTACAAGCTACTGTGTCTGAAGTTGGGAGAAATCCTTGGATTGCTAAAAGCCCCTCAACCGTTGTTGTGATTTTTACTTTCTTTACCAGGCTTTCAAGCCAGCTTCTGTTGTCATTCCCGTTGCTTGAGTGCTTAGTCCATTCTTCTCTGATAACTCTCCTACTTGGGATTTTAGCTTTTCCAATGTGATAGAAGGAAAATGGCTGGGGAAATGCTGAGCGCCGGGCTTGCTTCTCTCTACTCCACGGTAACAGATAAAATTTGCTGGGAGCAAGCTAACCTGCACCCCTGTACAAGACGGCTGCACTGCCCGACGCCCACCCGGCGTTCGCCCATCACTGCTGCTCCCGTTCTGCAGGAAGGTGGAGCAGAGGCCGGACCAAATTTACTGACAGCACCCCCAAAAGGAAGTGATAACTTTGATGTTTGGGCCCAAGCCAATTCCGAAGGAAGGGGAAAAAAATCCAAACAGTAACTAACGTCTCTAAATTGTCTTTTACTTTTCAGTAACTTGAAATAACAACAGCCACGTGATAATAGGCTGGATGAAGTGGTTTGATAAGATAAGCAGCAACACTTGGAAACAAGCTTTGGAGTTGAAATTGCTCAGCTAGGTGTGTAGTGAAGTTTAGATTCGAGGCATCAGGGTGAAGTTACTATTAGAAGGTCCGGAGTAAAATAATTGCTAGTGATTGTATTCCCTGGAATATGCCTGAGACAAACCTCCGGACCTAAGCAGCCTGCTCTTTTGTCAGGTGCAGAAGTCACCTCTGCGAGACAGTTCATGTGCTTTTCCCCTCTCCAGTCTCAGCAGGAACAGTAAGTTCCAGAAATCCCATTTTGCCTAATGCAATTTCCAGAACGCTAACCAGTGTTTCTTTTCCAGGCTCTGAGATAGAGTTATTTTAGGATTATTGCCTGTGTGAAACTGTATCATATTCACAAGAGTCCTTTCTCTTGTTTTCCAGTTTGCTGGAAAAGCCTGGCCTTGCAGTAAGGCAGCTGACTCTCGTTTCCAGCACGACTACAAAACTCGGAAATGGCCTCTGCGTCAGGTTAGTCCAAATTATAACTCTGTGCTAGCCACACTCCAGCTAATCCCCAACTTTCTTGCTTTGCCAAAATTCAGCCAGACCTTTCTTGCTGTTTTCTGCCTTTTTAAAAAACATAAAGAATATAGAGAATACATATTGCTCTTCGGTATTCCAGCTCATAGTCATTGAGTGATGACTGACGACAGGCATTTGTCCGTATGGCTGTCCATCTACCGTGTTTCTCTTCCCACTTTTTCAGGCACTTTTGTGGGTCGAAGCATACCAGTCGAAGTGGATGAATCCATGCCATGGTCGCCGTTTCCTGAACATGGCTTGGAAAAGGCTTTGCAGCCTTCCGGAGAGGATATGGAGGATGAGGGGTCCCAGAGACTGTGTGTTGCTCAGACACCTCAGCCTGTGGCCAATCCATCGTGCGTCTGCAGAGCGCCAGCATGTCATCAGTCAGCACGGTCCGTGGAGCCGGACAGCAGCTTGTGGGCAAAATATACTAATCTCGATGGAAATGGATGCGTCTGTTCCCCCGGTGAATCAATAGCTGGAGTAGTTCCCTCCAAGATGCATCTTGTAGCTATGGACAAACCAGGCATGCAGCCAAGATCACAGCTTTCAGCTGACATCGGGCACAACTCCAGTAAATCAGAGCAGAGCTTGTCTGATGCTCCCGAGGACTCGCTGGAGGAGAGCAGCCAAGGGAGTTCACAGTCACGGCAGCCCTCAGGAAACAGACCCCCAGCAGAGCTGGGGGCCATGGACACGGGGTACAACTCCCAGTCACGAGACGTCATGGGCATCCGGCACCTGGAGCCCCCCTTACCGCTGGTGTCCGTGCTGAACCCTCAGGACCTCCCAGGACCACTGATCTCCAGAGAGTTTTTTGGACCCGAGCATCGGCAGTGCCCAATGTGCCAGCACTTGCTCCATCCCAACGGCCCCTCACAAGCCCACGGCTGCTTTGGGCACCGCTGCCCGGCCGAGCCACAGCCCCAGGGCCCATGTGAGTAGCACCGCTCAGCCCACGGGAGGTTTGCCGGGTGTATCACAGCCGTCATGCACCAAGCTGGTGTTTTTCCTACTGTACTTAATGGCAATGCATGGCATGCACATATTAACCTTTTTAAACCGTATTTGCAGTCCATTTTATATTTCCAGGTTTTCGGGTTATGCAGCCGGACTCTCTGTTGCAGAATCTCTGAGCCAGATAAAAAGTTAAAGAGGTCACAGTTACTCATCAAAGGAAGACTAATGATTTTGCCTAGAAACTAGCCTTTGTCGGTCACGCTGGGCATACACAGCCTTCTCCCTGCTGTTATTTCATATTCTAGTCATTTCCTTCCTCCTTGCATCAGTCATTCAGCAGCCTCCTCTACTGACTTAATTCCTGTTGTTTTCAGAGATTTCCTTGCTCCCCCTTGGATGCCCAAAGTCGAGAATTTCCTGCCAGACTCGGGATGGGAGGTTACCCTTGATCTCTGTAAACAGTATCAACAGTATCTCCCAGCGTTATGACCAAACTCACCCATGTGTTTTATTTCTGTGTGAAAAGAGCGTGACATCCATCATCCTCATTTTTTTTTCTGTTGTCGGCTGAAATGAAAGCTCATTACTTAAAATGGAGCCCTCTCAGCTGCTGGTGATTGTATCACTGAACGCTGATGTGACTCCATCGATATGGGTGTTTTGGCTCTTGGAGACTACAATGCAGTTTACAGCCTGCTATTAATTAGTATTCCTTTTCAGTCTCTGAGATTTTTATCTGTTATGAAGTGAGCTTTGAACATTCAACAGCAGTATCATTGTTTTAATATAATTTATATTACATTAGACTCATGAGACCGCAACCTGTTTTGGGCTGGCTTTGTAATAAAAAGCTGTAGGCCTGTTCTGATAACCCTTTTTTTTTTTCCTAACCTTCTGTTGACTCCACAGCATTTATATTGCATCTCTTTAAGGAGTTTTGTCATTGCAGCACTGTGCTATAATTAGGGATATGAAGGAGAGAGGGTGTCAGAGCCTCACTGCTGATCTTGGGACCTTGTAAAGGGGAAGGGGCTACCGAGGGACTTTCATCAGTGTTTACAGCCGAATATTTGCAAAATGTCCTCTGGTTTTCTTTTCGTACCTTCTCCTTTCAGCTCAGCTTTAACAAAGAGCTGGTTGCACAACACCCCTCACTATTTACCTCCATTTACCTCCTCCACGCGCAGGCATCGTGAGAAGTAGGACATTTACTGAATGAGGCCATTTTCTTTCAAAGCAGGAACTCTGAAAGGCTTTCTTTAGAAAAATCACTACTGTTTCAACCATATCCAGAAGGCAAAAAGGATAAAATAAACTCAGATGGCTGGAGCAGCTTTGGTCAGGACCGAGAAGCTGGCAACTGTGCCCCTGTTTCTCACGTGCCCGGTACAGCGTAAATCACCTCCTGACAGCTCCTTGGTTTCAGATTGTTGTTGGGCAGTGGCAACCCACAACAAGGCTCTGCAGTTTGTGTGTCGCGACAGCCTCGCCCGGGGAAGGGCAGCAGTGCCCGGGGGCTCTAAGCTGGCTCCGGTCACCTGCTCTTTGGGATACAAGAGCAGAACTGCTTCTGAAGTCAAAGAAGTCCTCGCAGCAGTGCTATGTGCCCGGGGACCGTTCTTTCAGATATTTCTATATGAGAGCTGTTGGTGTGTGCGGGCACGTGCGCTTGGCCGTGCCCCGCTTTTGAACGGTGGTGGCTACATCCATTAAAATACTGTAGCGTCAGAGAGATCCAAAGGAAACTGGTGAAACATTCGCCTAAAAACCTGCAAACCAAACTGAATCTCCCAGAGCCCTGCTGCCTTCCCTAGAGCTGGTCGTGAGGAACCCACGAGAACACCGTGTTTACTCCCAATTTTGTTCTCCTGGCCTCTTTCACCCTGTCCCGTTGCAAATAGTTAAGAGGACGAGCAGGAAAAATCTCCTAGAAAAATCTCAGTGCCAACTCACATCTCATCACGAATCTCTGCAATCGTGGGGTTGGTTGGGTTTTGTTAAGGTGTTGGCTCCTGGAATTGGACTATCTCATCACAGCTTTGCTTGCTTGCTTTTTTTTTTTCTCCTCTTTTTAAAAAAACTTTAATCCTCATGGCTGCTAGGAAAAGGAAAGCATGACCCCAAAATAGCTAAAAGGATTTAAAAAACCAGTCTAGGTGGGGGGAAAGGAGTGTTTGAGTGCTGCAGCTTTCGGCGCCAGCTGACACCACGGTAATGTCGCAGCGGTAATAAGCCGTGCCAGGCTGGACTTTGGTCTGCGCACGGCCGCTGGGAAGTGCGCAGGGCTGCTGCCGGGGGACAACCGCAAGCAGAAAGACTGGGGGGAAAAAAAAAAGTTTTCCCCGTTTGGGAAACCTACTGCTTACATTGCTTTCTCTTTCAGTTTATGTCAACAGTTCCACTGTATGTTAGTTATTAAACAGCATTACATGTGCGTGGCCAACAACAGCACGGTTTTTCAGAATGACTTGAGCAAAATTGGGCTTCCCCTGTAGCCTCCTGGATGGCAACAGGAGCAGCAGCAAGGCCTTAAAAGGTCACTTAGGCAGAAAATTCATACAGGGTGAAGTAACAAACCAAGAGATTATTTTTTCGCTTTTCATTTACAATAATCACAGTCTGTTTAGCCTTAGTGTTGCAAACTGATTTGTTCCAGGATTTTGCATCTGCTTTCATGAGAACGTTGGGATGATTCATTTTCGCAAGTTATTGCCAAAAAGAAATTAAAAAAAAAAAAAAAAGAAAGAAAAACTAAATACACTGCGGCATGGTAAGTGCAGGGACAAAGCAGCCCTGAATGTTTAACTGTCAGTTGTCCCAACAGCCCAACCCAGGGTGGGGATCTGAACCGTGCTGTCTGTGAATGGGAAATAGGAAACTTCAAACTGTAAAACATTCCTTAATCTGGCTTCTTTCAGACCCAGATACCCGCAAATGCCTCCAAACTGCTCAATTTCCCGAGACATGAAGGAGGACGTGCCTGGAAAGGAATAAACACGAACTGAGGCAAAAATGTATTGGCTGAAATGACAGTTGCTGCCTTTATTTTCTCACCCTCCCAGATGGCAGAGCTCCTTACCAGCATTTTGTACAGACATCGCAACCGCTTCCTCCTGTTCCCAGACCTTGCGTGAGAGTTATCCGCCCGGCCCAGCAAGTCATCCCAAATTACTCAAACCTTCGTGCTCCCAAGGGCATGGCAGACCGACCACCCCAGAGGACGTGCTCCTCCCCTGCTCCTCCTCGATTCCCGTACGTACACCTCGGGGGGGTGCGCTGTGTGCAGTGGAGGCTCCTCTGATCTGATTCTGTGGGCTTTGAACCAATAATTCTGAAGCCTTGCAGTGTTAGCGTGCCCGGGCTGCAGGGGTACAGGCGAGATGCTGGGTAGTTTTCTTTATTTGCCATTTTACACCCCACAGGGGCCTGACCTTACCCTAGAGAACTTCAAAGCCGGATACCTGATATGTTGTTAAAGCACACCCTGAAATGCAGCATTAAGGAAGATAAATGCTTGAAGGTTAAAGGGATGAGGGGTTGAAAAATATCTCGGTTGAAACCTTAGAGCTCTCCTGCTCGAGAGCGAAGGTCAGTTCGGCATCTCACTGTAGTCTTCAGCTTTACGCCGTACCAGCCTTGGCTTCCAGTGATTTCCTTCTTATCGCTTCTGTAGTGCAGAGAAAAAGGGAGAAAATCTCGTCCGTTGTGATATCTCTCTAGACTGCAGTTTGCAGCCTTTTCTGTGACTTTTCTTAAGTAATAAAGCACCACCTCTAGCACTTTTCATCCAGGGCTTTTCAAATATTAATTTACTGGGCCTTACGTCGCCCTGCTTCTAAGTGTGTCATTAACAGAGGGGAAATAGTACCCACGCAGGGTTTTCTCCAGACTCAGCTACCTGAAGACAAATTGAAGCTTCAGGTATTGAGGACATCTGAAATCAGATTGTTTTTATTTAAGTGCCACAATACTTTTAGAGGTGCTAAACTTACAGGCATCTGTGTTTGAAAATGTCCACTTACATGACATGGTCTTGGCAGAAAAATGGGCGAATAAGTGGAACAAAAGAGGGCTGGCAGCTGAAATATCGCACTGCTCTGGCCTGTGAAAAGTTAGGGGCTGTGACAGAAAAGTGGCAGCAAGATAAGGCAGCACCTGCAGCAGAGATAGTTGCACTGAAGAGTTTGTGTGAAAATGTTAAAATACTGAGGAATAGCGGCTTTCCTTTGCAGTAGTAAAATTTAAAAACAGGCTCCTAATTTTCGGCACATTTGTTAGATAAGGTGAAGTTTTGGGAAGATCTGTAAATTAGCCACAGGCTACTTTTTTGTGGCTGTTGATGAGGTACACGTTGCTTTTCTTGATACTTTCTTCTGCTATAAGAAATCCAGAATATGCGAGGTCTGTCCTGTGGCTGCGTGGCTGGTGTTTGCATGCTGATTCCAGCAACGGCAGTTCTATGTTGGTAATATTTGCCTATAGAGTATTTTGTAACAGAAAACATCTGGACCGAAATGAATAAACCAAATCTTAATGTGACAACAGAAAACATGCTGTGACCAGCCTGTCATCATTCATTTAAGGAAGGCAAAGAAAAAAAAAAGAGAGTGAGCTTGATTGACTAAACATCACTGCTCTGTGGGGAAAAGCTCTCAGAGAAACCCAGCACTCGTCCAACAGATTCAACTCAGCAGATTCAAAGCACACCTCACGTAAAGATCTCTACAGATTCCCCTTTCTATTGACTTAAACTGTGAAGCCAAAGTGTAGTAGGACAAGAACCGCTAAGCTTCCTAAAATCATCCCTTTCTGTTTGTTACAATGGAGAAGATGTTAGGCAAGGTTATTGCAGGTCTGGAGTGCAGAACCCTGACACGAGAAACCCTCGCTGGGGCTGCTGTTGCTGGTCAACAACTTAACTTTGTTCCCTTTAGCAAAACTTTGCATTTTGTCCAAAACTGGGGACCCTCCGAGCTGTGTCAGAGCTGGAGGTGGAGGGCCCTTGTACCCCCGTGTCTCCCAATCCCCACCTTGTGCTGTGCCTCCTGTGCTGCCCAGGACACCCTGAGGGCACCTGAGGTGCCATGAAGCACCTTTTAGATAATGGGGAGAGGTTGCCCAAGTGCCGCCCTGCTCCCGTACATGCGTAACAACATCCACGACACGGCACCACTTCTCGCTCAGCAACGGCCTTTGCTTCTGCTAATTGCGAACTGAAGAGCTTTGAGCGACGAGGGGCATTCACCCCCTGTGCTAATGCTGCTGCTGCAGGAAGCGGCTTCGCGTGGCAGGCTGTCGCCAAGGTATCCGTACAGATGATGCTGTAATAACTAAGAGAAATGCTGAGCCAAGCATTTCTACGGAAACTTTTCCTAGCTAATATGCAGTTAAAGTTCTTAGTGCGTTATGAAAAGAAGAAAAAAATCTGAATTTTGCCTGAAAAGAAGTATTTTTTAAATCCTCACTTGCTTTTCTTCGCAGAAACCAGCTATACAACCAGCTACCTAATGGCCAGCTGCCCCCCAAGGCATGCGGCCCGGATGAAGCGTGCTGTTGTCCTTCTGACAATTTTCCATCTCCAGCTGCAGTCCCGAGGCCTCTCAGTAACCCTGCAGCCAAGGGAACCCTGAGAACCAGCAATCTGCCGGAGGAGTTGCGTAAGTGGTTAGCCAATCTGTTCTGCGCAAGATTTTACAGCGCAGCCTGACAGCTTTAGGTGGGAAAGTGCCGGGGGGCGGGGGGGAGAAGGCAGGGGGAACAACATTAAGACACAAAGACAACAAGAAAAGAAAAAAAAATACTGAGTGTCGTCACATCTGTAGGGTGTGAGCGTTTGCGTTTGGTGGGATGGAATTATCCCCTTGAATCCTGAAAGCATAATTGTCATTAATTGCTTGTTATTTTGTTTACAAAAAATAAATACCGTTTAGATTTCATGACTTGTTGCTAAACAGGATGTCTGTCCCTTTGAGGCAGGAGGCACTGAAGCTTACAGTAAAAGACAAATAACAAACCAAGCCCTAGGGGTGAAGCGTTTCTGCCGGTCCCAAACCAGACAAATATGTCGAGTCTCAACCCCGCTTCTCCCTGACCCGGCTTTGGGCCGGGAGCCCACGCTGCGGGCTGAGGGCAGCGGGGGCCGAGGGGCTGCCCCAGCCCCCGGGACACTTTTACCCTTCAACTCTTACGGGAAAGTCAGGTTTTGGAAAACCGGCTTCCTGCTTGATGCCGTGCTGGCTAGCAGGTGAGATACACCATTGCTCAGAACCCTCCACATCTCTCCTGAGGTTTTAATTTTTCCTTTATTCGTCATTTTGCACACTACATTTCAAATCCAGAGAGTTGTAGGTCTCTGCCCTGTAGGGGTGAGTTACAGTAGCAGATACCGCTCTCGGATAGATCCTACTTTACCAGTTAGTGTGTCCTAGGTACAGGAATTACTGGATAAATTTGTGTCATTTGTGATACACGCACAGCTGGATTAGATTAGCCAGCTGGTCTCCCCTCACCTGCAAATACATGATTCTTTAGTTAGTGAGAAAACTCCTTCCATGACGGCACGGGCAGCTGAGGACATTGCTGCCGTCGGCCATCCCTCCTGCCCGCACGCTGCCGTCAGGTGAGGCAGTACGGCATGCCCAAGGGCTCCTCCAGCCCTCGGCCATCCCTGCCCTCCGTCCGGGAAGGCTGTGCTGGCTGCACCGGCGCCACTGCGCTCTCCCGCATCCGTTTTGGAAATAATCCGAAGAGACGTAGGTGGGCAGAACCCGCAGCGCGGTGGAAAAGGAGGGCTGCGAAAGTCTCACCCTCCGAATGGTGTATGTTAACGCAGCGCATATTCATACGGACTCTCTCTCCCAGGCAAGGTCTTTATAACCTATTCTGTGGACACAGCGGTGGAGGTGATGAAATTTGTGAACTTCCTGCTTGTAAATGGATTTCAAACTGCTGTAAGTATTCCTTCCGGAGAAAAATTACTTTCAGCCAGGGGACAAGAGAGACATTTTTTTAACAAGCAGAGGCAATACGCTGTCCATTTAAATGTTTTCCTGTTTATCATCACACTTTGTAGGTTAAAGAAGAATGAACTAACCTTGGCTTTAAAAGTTGTGGCTTAAATGATTCGGCTATTTTAACTGAATTTTACGCTTTGAAATGTGTTTTAACAATGACCCTGGAAAATTTCATTTCGTGACACCAGATACCAGATGGGTAATAGTATGAAGTTTCGTAAGCTATTCCATTAACATTGTCTTATATTTGATCTGTAATATCAACATTTAAAAAGGTCGATTTTCATGTCATCCCATCCTAGCTTTTTTCCTGCGATGCTACTACATCATTGGTTCTTCAGATGTGAATACCTTTCTGCTCAAAACTGACCTAAGATCAGTGTATTTCACACAGCCTCATGAAACAGCCCAGCTCATGGTTTCATTTGCTTTGTTATACTTTTAAAAGGGATTCTAAAATCACTGGCCTGAAAAGGTCTGTGTCCTACTGTCTAATCCCGTAAGCCATCCAGATTTTCATTTAACTTCTCGTGAGTTTGCTTCATCATTACCGTCCTCTCTAAGGGAACCATCCACAGAGGCCCTAGGGTTTGGTGTTCATCAAAATCTTGATTCATATTTTCTTATTTCAAGTGCATATGCTATCTGACCCCTCAACCTTCACTCTTTGGCTTCAATTCAGGAAAGCATTTAAGCAAGTGGCTATCATTAAACTGAATGAGACTCAGTGGGGGGCTTTGCACACGCTTATTTACTTTCATGAATCAAAGATTTTTTCCAGAGACTGCAATTATACTTCTCTCCAGCAGTTCTGTACTGTGACCAAATCATGAGAAAGCTTTGGGCACCACAGCAGTATGGAGTGGAAGGCTCATTAATAGCACCTTTGCTGGACAGGCAACTCTTGGACCCTGCTGCAGAATAATAAATATAGCAAAATGGCCCCAAAGCAGGGAAGCAAATACGCTCTCTACTTTCCAAAGGGGAAAAGAAAGACTTGAGAGCAGAACATGACTCTTCTATCAAAAGCCTGGAGAAGTTTATACTTACTCCATTGCTCACAGTCACTGATTGCCTGTTCCTGGGCGTGCTGAGCGCGCAGGGCAGTGACCGGTGTCGGTTGTATTCAGTCCTACCAAGTCCTCCACCCCTCTGCTGTCGCTCAAGTCGGGGGTACTGCATCCACCATCAGTGACCTGGCTGACTTCTCACCACACACCCCAAAAATTTAGTTCAATATGAAGCTAAAACTTGACACTCAGTATATACCCTTGCAGCCGGAGAACAGTGGGCATCTGCAGCTCTAGAGAAGGTGGGCAGCCCTTCACCTTCATGAGGTGTTTGGAGAGGCAAAAAAGCCATTTTTGCAAACACCGCATATCTAACATTCATTGGCAGCGGTTGTTTCTTGTTCCGTTGAGCCAAAAATGCCTGGGAGTTGGGAGCTGGCGGGGGG